GATTACTTAAATTTAAGCTCAAACCATTGTGCCCCACTACTCCATGCTGATGTTTGCATTCTATTATACCCCCTCCTCGAATTCTCCTCTGTCTACGTGTCTATATAACCCCCGATTTCCCTTCAGCTTCATACAGTCATACAGCATGGAAACAGACCCTTCAGTCCAACTCGTCCGTGCCGACCAGATATCCTAAACTAATCTAGTCCCATTTGCCAGCATTTGGTCCATATCCCTCTAAACCCTTCCTATTCATATACCCATCCAGATGCCTTTTAAATGTTGTAGTTGTATCAGCCTCCACCACTTCCTCTGGCAGCTCAGTCCAAAGACGTACCACCCTCTGCGTGAAAAAGTTGCCCCTCAGGTCCCTTGTATATCTTTCCCCTCTCACCTTAAACCTATTGCCCCCTAGTTTTGGACTCCTGCACCCTGGGGAAAAGACCTTTCATCCTTTCATCCCATCCATGACCCTCATGATTTTATAAACTTCTATAAGGTCACCCCCTCAGCCTCCAACGCTCCAGGGGGAAAAAGTCCCAGCCTATTCAGCTTCTCCTTACAACTCAAACCTTCCAGTCTTGGTAACATCCTCGTCTATCTCTTTTGCACCTTTACCAATTGCATAACAAATTTCCTACAGCAGGGTGACCAGGGCTTCCCCTTAAAGACGTGACCGGGCATCTCAAACCAAAGTGAGAATTAAATGTTAGATAATAAATGTCAAACAGTCAGAACCTCCAATAGTCGAGCACCTTGAATGAACTGGGGGATAATAAAAACACTAAGAGACCTGATCCACCCAAACCATTAACCTGTCTTTATCTTCTTTTCAGCTCCCCACAGACCCGCTGTGCGTTTCCAATACTCACAGTTCTTTCAGCCTCTCTGCATTGTGTTCCAGCCCTATTATTTCCATTTAACCCTCTGCTGGCTGTGGAAATTGAAACTAGCTGAGGAACTAGTGGAGAGATTAGAGAAAAGCGCAGTTCTGAAGAAGGGTCACTGGCCTCGAAATGTTAACTCTGGTTTTTCCTTCCACAGGGACTGTCAGAGCTGCAGATTTTCCCCAGCATTCCCTGTGTTTTGCTTCCAATTTCCAGCATCCACAGAATTTTGATCTCGACAGCATTAATGTTTCGGCTCATTCACCTGCCCTTCCTCCCAAAATAGCCGCTGTGTTCTCAAATAGACTCTGAAACACTTGAAAGCACACAGAATGCTGGAGAATCTCAGCAGCTCTGGCAGCGTCTGTGGAGAGAGACACAGAGTTCGCGTTTCAGAGCCCTGTGACCCGAATCGGTTCACTAATGAATGATGTACTTCTTACATCGGTACAGCCCCCAGTCCCTGCCACCACCACCCCCACCCCCACCCCCACCAATCTGTCCCTCCACAGCTTTGTACCTTAAAAGCCTGATGATAGTCCATGATAATGGAATGCCTTGGAGAGACTGTCCAGCATTGGAGACATGAGGCCCCTCAGTGCTCACTAATAATGTGCTGTGTATCTTTGGGATGCATTTATATAGCTACTGGTCATTTAATTTTAATTCAGTAGGGAGAACCATGTACCCTCCCTGGAGAGAATTAAGGGGCGATCAATATGAAGCACTCTCAGCATCTAAATATGATGATGAAAAGTGGTTGTCATTATGATTTTGTGCAGAAGACCTTTGCACTTTCTTCATTCTTGTTTTCTCCACATTTACTTTACAGTCTCTTATAGAATCCCTATAGTGTAGGAGCTGGCCCTTTGGCCCATCAAGTTCACACTGACCTTCTGAAGGGCATCCCACCCCATCCTGCATTTGCCGTGGCTAACCCACCTAGCCACACTACAGGGTGATGTCGCATGGCCAATCCACCCTAACCTGTACATCTTTGGACTGTCACCTGAGGGTGAGATTGAACCCGTGTCTCTGGCACTGTGAGGCAGCAGTGCTAACCGCTGAGCCACCGTGCCACACTCATTTCACTCCTGTTTCATTCTCATAACACTCACATTTCATTCTCGTTTCATTCACTTTACACATGTGACATGTTTGTGCATTGTCGCCATGATCTGTAAATGTGTCTTTGAAGAGCATTTCCAGCAACATGATACTAAAATGGCCTCGTGGTAGATAAAGCACAGGCCAGGGGAACCTGAGGACTGGCAGTTATTGGTGCAGTGTGTTAACAGGGTGGGATTTGGCTCCACCGGTTTTCAGTAAAATCCGCAAATTGGCTGACATCGGCGGCTTGGGATTTGAACAGAACTGGGGCCATCCCCTGAGTAAGCCGAGATAGCTGAGAGAAGTGCTCTTAACAGGGAGAAATCCCAAGGAGAGGATACTTCACAGTGAGTGTGAAGCCTCAAGATAAGAGTGTCTAAAGGGTTCTCACTTGGCATCAGCCAAGCAGCTAACTGGGGTAAGTAAACACAGGAATTGGAATATTTTCACCAAGTTGGTGAATTTGACAATGATGGCTAGACATTCTCGGGGGGATGAGGAATAGATGAAAGCAAGCTCTTTTTGCCAAATGGATGAGCATTGGTACGAAAACAATTGTGCGGGCTTATGATTCTTAAAACAATTGCTCGGAATGTGAAATATTTCCGAGATAATGTGATGTGTTTTTCCCTCTATCCAGACCCTTCCAGGTTAGTGAACACTCACTGCTGTTGCCTTTTCCCATTTCTCTCCTTGTTCAGCTTCGGTTTGGCGTTCCTGTCTGCCCAGAATGAGAGCTTTCCTGGTTTTGGCCTTGCTATCGATCCTGCTGGAAATGTGCCAGGGAAAGCATGCAGGACGGTTGCCAAACGGTGGTGTTCTCACCAAGGTACGGGCACATTTCCCATCCTTCGGGTTTTTGCGAAACTTTCCTCTGTATTTGTGTGCGTACACAGTGCCATGTTCTGCCATGTCGGAGATCACTCAAATGTCACTATGACAAATGAAACTAATCATTTGAAAGTGAACAAAAAAGGACCTCCTTGAGTTGGTCAATTGGCCTAATATTTCTTTATGTGGCATGGATGTCAATTTTGGTTTGACACTTCACCTCGTGATATCTCGCTGCCCTAAAAATACCATATAAGTGATTCTGGCAGGGATGTGGGCATCACTAGCAAGGGCAACATTGGTTGCCCATCGTTAATTGCCCCTTGATCTGAGTGCTTGCCCATTTCAGAGAGTGGTGAAGAGCCAACCGCATTGGCTGTGGGTCTGGAGTCACATTGTAGGCCCAGACTGGGTAAGGATGGCAGATTTCCCTCCCGAAACTGAACCCAATGGGATTTTAACGACAAACCATGATAGTTGTCATGGTCACTGTTACTAAGCTTAGATTTCAGTTTGTGATTTGTCAATTGAATTTGAATCCCAGCAGCTGCTGTGGTGGGATTTGGAGCCGTGTCCCCACAGATTAGCCTGGATAACCAGACACCGAACAACCAATCATAGAATCATACAGTGCGGAATGGGCCCTTCGGCCCATCAAGCCTGTACTGCCAAAGTGACACTAAATCAATACTGGTCCTTCCTTCCAGCACAAGGTCTATAGCCTTGAATGTTATGACATTTCAAGTTCTCATCCAAGTGCATTTTACAGGTTAGGAGGTTTCCCACCTCAACTGCCCTCCCAGGCCGTGCTTCCCAAACCCCCACCGCCCTCTGGGTAAAAAAAAACTCCTTAAATTCCCTCT